AACAAAGACTCTAATTTTATTAATCCCAATAAAGTGAATCCACCATGCAAAGCAGGCAATTAAACGGAGCGGAGATAAAGGGTACTACAAACAGGAAAATTATATGACACAGATAAGTCAATACATATCAGTTGTAGCTATCAATTTAAATGATCTCAATTTACCAATTTAAAAAACAGATTAGCAAAGTGGATCAAGAAGCAATATCCAACAATATGCTGCATATGAGAAGCATACTTAACTCAGAAAGAATTTCATAGACTGAAAATCACTGGTTATAAACAATACTCAATGTGGCAGGAAATCAGAAAAAATGGGAAGCTATTCTATTTACAGACAAAGTGAATTTCAAGCCAAGACTGATGAAGAGAGACAAAGGTTACAATGTACTTGTTAAGGAAACAAACCAAGAGGAAGAAAACATTCATAAATCTATATGCACCAAATACCAGCACACCCAACTCTCTAAAACAAATAATAATGGGCATGAAAAATCAAATAAGCACTAATACAGTTATAAGGGAGACTGTAATACCCCACTTCACAAATAGACAGATCAACTAGGCAAAAATCAACAAAGAAATATCAGAACGGAACCAAACCTTTAAATAAATGAACTTAGTAGATGTATACAGAGTGTTCCATCCCACCAAATCAGAATATACATTCTTCTCAGCTGCACATGGGACTGCAAAATAGACCATATACTAGCTCATATAACATTCTTAATTAAATGCAAAGGAATTAAAGTTATCTAATGCATATTGTCAGCCCGTAGTGCAATAAAATTGGAAATCAATGACAAAAGAAAGCACAAAAACTGCATAAAAATATGGAAATTAAATAACACCCTCCCAAACAACTAAAGGGTAACAGATGAAATTAAAGAAGAAATTGGACAGGTCCTACATTAAACTTCAATGCCAATACAACATACTGGAACTTATGGGGTGCAGTGAAATCAGCTCTAAGAGAGATATTTAGAGTGTTGTATTCTCACATGAGAAAAATAGAAAGCACAAATAAATAACCTAATAATGAACCTCAACCTTCTAGAGGAAGAAAAGCAAGTTAAGATGAAAGCTCACAGTAGAGGAAATTATGAAGATTCAAGCAGAAATGAATACAATTAAAACTAAGAAAATAATACAATGAATGAATTAAAGAGTTGGTTCTTAGAATGATTAAACGAGTTTGACAAATCTTTAACCACCCTTATTAAAAAACAGACTGAGATCTTGGATAAACCCAGATGATCATCAATATCTACTTTGATAATATGTATTATAATGAGATAAAAAACACAGAAGAAATGGAAGTATTCCCAGATACATGTGAATTACCAAAGCTGAATCAAGAAGATATAAAAATTATAAACAATCCAATACCAGTCAATGAAATTAAAGATGTAATAAAAATCCTACAACAAGGAAACTCCCAGGTCCTGATGGATTCACTACTGAATTCTACATGAAATTTAGAGAAGTTCAAAAACCAAACTGCATGATAAATACTTCAAACAATCAATAACTGGGTTGTCATTCTACTAAAAGGTTTTTGCACATCAAAAGAAATCACCAACAGAGTGAAAAGTAAATCCACAAATTGGGAAAAAATTTTAGTCAACTGTCCCTCAGACAAAAGACTTCTATCTAGAACATATAAAGAATTAAAAAATCAGGACCCCAGATTCAAAGACCCAATACAAAAATGGGCATCTGAGATGAGCTCACACTTCTCAGATAGGGAAATGCAAATGACAAATAAATACATGAAAAAATGTTCAACAGCATTGGTTACTCAAGAAATGCAAAGTAAAACAACACAGAGATTCCATCTCAATGTAGGAAGAATAGCTATCATCAGAAAATCAATGCATAAAAATGCTAGAGGGGCTGTGCGGAAAAAGGAACACTTCTCCACTGTTGGTGAGAGCATAGACTGGTGAAACTACTGTGGAAATCAGTGTGGAGATTCCTCAAAAAACTAGGATTAGAGGTACCATTCAATCCAGCTATTCCTCTTCTGGGTATTTTTTCAGAGAAACTGAAAACATCATATCACAGTGATATATGTGCACACATGTTCATAGCAGCACAACTTTTCTTATGTAATTATTAGATTCACAGTAAAATTGTCTAGAAAGTACAGAGATTTACCCTAACCCCCTAGCCTTTTGCCCTCTCTCCACTATGAGCAGCTCCTGCCAGAACGGCATATTGTTAGGGGATGAACCCACCAGGGTACAACACCGTCACCCCAAGCACATGCTTGACAGTAGCTCTCACTTCGGTGTTCTACACTCTGGGTTTTGACCAATGCATCAGTATGAATATCAGTATGATAGGTATAGAAAGTAGTTTCACTGCCCTAAAACAAGCTCTCTGCTCTATCAGTTCATCTTTTCTCTCCTCTTAGCCCCCAGAAAATACTCATCTTTTCACTGTTCACATAGTTTTACTTTTTCCATTAAGACTTACCCTGGGATTGTACAGCATGTAGCCTTTGCAGATCAGCTTCTTTCATTTCTATTATCCATTGACGTTTCCTCCACAGCTTTTCATGGCTCACTGGTTCATGTCTGAATCAGGTGCTGAGTAGCAGTTCACTGCCTGGCTGGACCCCAGTTTATTTATCCCCTTATCTACAGAAGGACATGGCTGTTTCCTAATTTGAAGAGTATGCACAAAGCTCATAAAAACATGTTTCCTTTGTGGTGGACATAAGTTTACAATTCATTTGGATAAATATCAGAGTTCAGTTACTGGACGGTAAAATTAAAGTGGTTTACCATGTTGCCCTCTTAGCAGTAATGAATGATAGTTCTTGTTGCTCTATAGCCATTTAGTGCTAGTTAGTGTTTGGGATTGTGGTCGTTTAGATAAGTATGTAATGGGAAAGTAAGGGGGGCTGGGGACTTTTTTTTGTCTTTTGGGGTGTGTATTGAGACAGAGTTTTGCTATGTAGTTCAGGTTGGTCTCAAACTGACTATTTAGTCGAGACTACCCTTGAATTTGCAGCAACCCTCCTGCCTCAGCCTCCCAAGTCCTGGGATTATAGGATTGTGCCACCACCCTTGGCTTTGCAGAAATTATTTTTTAAGAGAGTAAATAAATACACCACAATTGAATATATTACACATATATACATTGCAACATGGTCAAATTATAAAATATACCAAAATAAGCAGGTATTGGCAAACACAAAATGAACAAAAGCATGCAAAACCTGAAGAATTCTTCATTGCTGAAAGACGTTATATCTAAGGAGATTTGAGAATGCGTACTTTTTTCTTAGGTCATTAATCAGTTCACTCACATTGAGAGATGATGAAAAGTTGCAACTTCACTTTTGATGTGGTGCCTTAGGAAAGAGTTCGCGACCAGCTGAGTGACAGAGCAAAGCGTGGGCATCCTGGAAAAAGGGGAGATCTGCAGAGGAGTGAGCCCTCAGGTCAACGTTTAATCAAAAAGTCTGCATATCTGGGGGAGTCTGATGTCCACAGGAGAAAAAAAATGGCCCTTAAAAGCTAAATTACCTGAGTTAAAATTTTAGCAGATGGTGAATATGACAGAGAGAAAGAGAGAGAGACTGGAGATTGAGTCCATACCCTTACCACTGAGCTATATCTCCATCCATTTATTTACCTTTTGGGACAGAGTTCCATTAAATTGCGAAGTTGCCCAGGCTGGACTCAATCTTGAAGTCCTTCAGCCACTCAGAGTGCTGAGATTACACGTATGAGCCATACCAGCTAAAATAGATTTTTTAATATGAAAGTCATGGGAAAAAAAGAATGGGAAAAAGAGAAATGGGACATACAATAATACAAAAACTAATTAAATACAATAATAGCTACAAAAATTCATTAAGAGATTCACATCGTAAAGCGATGAGATGACATCAAAATCTAAAATGAGAGAGTAAAAATATGAAAGCATTTTTATGTGATGGAAATTAGTCATTAGTTTAAAGCAGCATTACTGGCAGATGTCTTACCTAAGCCACATGGTAACACAAAGCATAAACCAACTATAGATATCCAAAAGATTAAAAATTAAGGAATCAAAGGAATAAAATTTAAAAATTAAAATAAAATCTAAGGAATCAAAGCATACCACTGCCAAAAATCATTGCATTATGAAGAAAACCACACAGGATTTAGAAACAACCAAAAAGAACTAACAGAAGTCTTCGGTGAATATAAATCGATTAAATTCTCCACTTCAAAATGCAATACAGCTAAATGGATGAAAAGCTGAAGCCAACAGTATACTGCCCAGAAGTCATTCAATTCAATTTTCAGAGTATAAATTCACTGAAGCGAAGGGACAGCAAAAGGTGATACATGAAAACAGAAACGCAGAAACAAAGAAAACAGAAACGCAGGGCTGGGGATATAGCCCAGTGGCACAAGAGCCTTCCTAACAAGCACAAGGTCCTGAGTTCAATTCCCAGTACCTTTAAAAGAAAATAGCACAGTTCACTCTACTTACATTAATAGTAAGTGAAAAGGAACAAAAAAGGTGATTATATTCTGATAAAGGAGTCAATTCATCAAAAGGACATTAACAATTGTAAACACATGTGCACCTAACATCAGAGCATCTAAATATATAAAATTAAAAATCTGAGGGAAGAGAGACTACAATCCAATCATAGCAGAACATTCACCGCTGTGCTTTGACAAAAGATAGATAATCCAGACGTAAATATCAAACTTGAGCTATTTATTAGACCAAATGTATTTAAGAACACAAGTAGAACATTCTATTTAAAGCAGCAGGATAGACATTCTTCTGAAAGGTACATAAAGCTTGTCCAGGATAGACTCACAAGGTAAGTCTTCATTTTCTCCAATACCCTGTGAATAACCATTCTACTGTCTATAAGTTCAACATTTTATTTTAATTCTGCATCTAAATTATACCATTCAGTACTTACCTTCCACAGTCTATCTTATTACACATATAGTATTTTCCATGCTATTCCATGAGAAGGAAAGTGCAACACGAGGCTGTGTCTCTCCATCACGGACTTCCACCCTGACACGTGGAACACAGCCTGGTCCGTCTCCACCACCCCCACTGGGCTGCTCAGCTTCATGGTGGAAAAGGGCCCCACCCTGGGCAGCATAGAGACACAGGACTTTAAGAAAAGACAACGGGCAGCACAGTTTAGCGTTTAATTTAAAAGATAAAGTTTTTTGTGAATTATTTCCTGAAGTTGTGGAGGAAACTAAACAAAAGCAGAAAGCACATGACGAACTCAGTAGCAGGCCGCAGACTCTCCCCCTGCCAGATGTGGTTCCCAATGGAGAAACGCAATACGGCCAGAACGGGATCCAGCTTCTCAACGGGCCTGCGCCTGGTGCCGGCCCGAACCTGGCACGGCTACAGCGGGCCAACCGGTACCATGGACTCCCGGGTGGTGCTCTGGCGAACTTGTTTGTTATAGTTGGGTTTGTAGCCTTTGCCTACACCGTCAAGTACGGGCTGAGAAGCACAGCGCAAGGGTGAGCCACAGCCCAGTCACCGCGGGAGACGAAGGCACCAGAGTTCGACTTGGGCCAGCGGGACGTGCTGCCGAGCCAGGGCAGGCCCACCAGACTCCTGGGTTTCACTTTTTAAAAACCTTAAAAGGGAAACAAAACCCAAAACTTGTGACTTGGAGGAAACTCAAGATTCTCAGCTTCTTTTCTCACCCAGTGAAGTGCCTACCGGGGTGGCATCGCCGACGGCGGCTCATGCTTTCGTTTTATAGCTTACCTGTTTTTCATTTTGTTAGATTTGGTCGCTTAAAACTACAAATTCAATGCCTGTCTAGTGAAAAAAAAAAACCTCAGGTAACTTGAAAATATCTCAATAATTATAGCAAAATATCACATTGCGTGCAGTAAATATGTAACACGCAAATGTAGACAGAGTTTGAAAATTCAGAATAAATGAGTACAGTTATCTCTGATTGATTAAATCAATGAATGGCCAGAGTATTCATTATAAACAGAAAAACTAAGATTTATAATTTTAAAAAGTTAAATATGATTTTTTTATGTTTTGATTGTGTATGCATTTTTACTACAATATTAACGAAGTCATTGTGTCAAAGAAAAGAAAGTTTCATTGAAAGAAAATATCTTGAGAACTTTTAAATCTTTCTATTACTAAAATTAAATTATTTTAACATTTTAAAAAAGTGTAGTGCTCTCAATATACTAACAAAAGTACCAACTGCTTACTGTTGCATTTCTTTCAGGATTTTAAATTAATAATTATTATGATAATGAATACTGTACTATACATAAAATCTGTTTTATATTTCTAAAACACTACATCGTAACTGCAAAGGAAACTATTTAAAGTCTTAAAATGAAATCTTTAATTCATAGAAACATGAATTTCTAGACAAATACATGCTAATTCTATTTACATAATCATAGTGAACTTTGACAGGGAACATTCATATCAGAGCATGCTATAAATATTAGCCAAATATGTAAACTTTTTTAAATTATAGCAGTTTTAGCTTAATCAGAGCTTTCACCCAGCTAGAGATTGTCTGTATTTATTACCTTGAATTCAGTTAATATTATAGAAACTATTTTTGTCAGCTAGTAAGCTACACAAGTACTGTTTGAATTATTTTCAGATTTAATTAAATGTAGTTTAACATCTTTGATTTCCTCAGTAGGAAAAACTGTTTTTATGTTTTTAATTTTGGCAATCACAAGGAATATTTGCTGTCTACAGATCGGAAACCTTAAATGATCACTACTGGAAACATGACTGTAAATTCAGCCTCATGACTGTCAGAATTCTAAGCTCACTCTCAGCCTTCCTAGGGTCTGGTGTATAGATGCCTTCTCCTGGCTGTAGAACCAAAAACTAATATAAATGCTACACAAAGCTTCTTGTAAACACAATGAAGGTCCAAAATCTTTGACCTAAGAAATACAAAAGATAAGTAAAAAAAATAAAAGATAATAGGAATCAGGGAGGTAGATCTTTTGCAAAATGGATGGGGATCAAGAGATGGGGGGATGACAGGAAAGGGGAAGGGAGGGGGTAATAAATGACTTAGGATGTGTTGTGCACATGAGGAATGTAATCGTTACGTACTGCAAATGTGTATGAATAAAAAACAAACAATATTCAGTTGCAAATATTGCAGCTGGAAAAGGAATAAGAAAAACAACTGGTAGGATTTTTTTTTAAATCAACCTAAATAAATGTTCTATACCTTATAATGTGAAAAAAAAAAAAAGGTAAGGAAAGTATTTGGGTGTACCAGCCTAATCCCATGAAATTTTTAAGGCAGTGTTTCCTGCAGCTGGTTACGGAAGTGACAGTCAGAGATCAGCTAAGAGTGATCTGTAGTAAAGCAAACACTGGTTCTGCAACTGTTTGTGGCAGTGGAATGTTAAGGAGCTGTGACTGCCCCTGTGAGCTGAGTCAGGTTCCAGGCTTCCAACACCAACACAGACCTCAGGTTGGGAGACACAGCACACTCACTTGCCACTTGAGGATATTTCAGCCAATGTCAGATCACGCATGTGAAGCCAACCCCATAAATTTATGTCACCTAGTGACATCTGGCGGTCTTTGTTTTGTACATTGTATGATTTTGTGCAATTATGAAATCACCTAACAATGCATTTCTCAGAACATGTCCTAACATTAAAGTAGCATATGATTTGCTGGTCATGGTGGTGCACACGTGTAATCCTACCACTTGGGAGGCTGAAACAGGAGCACCACCATGAATTTGAGGCTAGCACGGGCTACACAGTAAATCCAACTCCAGTCTGAACTACACAGCAAGACCCTGTCTCAATCAAAAATAATATATGGCTGTAATGAAATTCTACTCTTCACTTGGAAGATGACTGAGCTCCAGTGAGAATACTGTAAACTCAACCCTGACTTTAGCCTGCAAGACTCTGAGGACAGAACCTAAGCACACCAGGTCCATTTGAAGCCATTAAATTTGTATGCGTTGATTGTGAGCAATAGATTAATGTGTGCATATAGTGGCTATTGTGAGCAATAGATTAACGTGTGCATATAGTAAGACTATATCATGCATGAACATTAAATGTCTGATATAAATCACTGCAATTTTTCTGAACCTACCAAATTTTGTATAAAGTCTATCTCAATTTTTGAAAAGAGGCACATGTTCAAGTCTTTCCTTTCATTTATTTAATATCTAAAAATGTAAAACTGGGTCCCAGGCCAAGTGTTTGCCACTTTCCAAGCAATCAGAAAGGATAGCAATAATAACAAAATGTACCGGGGTTTCCAAAACAAAATTTCCTCTTCACCTGCCACCACACACCACCTTTGAACCAGCCTCTCTAATGATTTTTAATTGAAATTCTATTGCCATTCAATATGTGCTTTTCCTCAGGTGCTACAACCCTGGGGTGTCATACACCATCCATTTTGTTTCATTTGTAAGGAATTCTCATTATTTCTTCCAAGTTATAAAATCAGATAAGGCACCTATAACTAAATTTAGTAGTTATTTTTAATATCAGTTTTAATGCTAAATTCTGAGCACTCATCTTTTTATTTTTAAAAATTAGTTTAGTGTCCATATAATTGGAATTAGGGCAACAATTTGCCCAAGTGGTTACAAGCAATTTGCACAATTGAATAAAATTTCTCTGAAATTTTTGTAGGAAATTGCATGCTTTCTGTTTTTAAATTTTGTCCCCCAAGTGATAATTTTTGCCACGCTTTCTCTATAGAAAACACCCTCTACCTGTGCTGCGGGTACATAATTAACAGTGTTCTTAATATGCAGTTTAAGGTTCAGAATGATAAGACTCTAAAAAAAAAATCTTTAAAAGATTTCCAGCTCAAAATAAGAGAAAACTGTTCAGTCAGGAGTAAAGATTTAGTTAGAAAGATTCACATTCAATTCCCTGCTTTATCTTTTCCTGAGTTATGCCGTGTTACTAAGCATTGTTGCCCAGGATGTTTAGGAACTCTCGGCCTCAAATGATCCTCCCACTTCAGTCTCCTGAGTAGCTGAAATGATAGGCATAGGCCATCACTCCATGGTAGGAGTTTTCATTGTTTCATTGACAAATGAGAAGTTAGTTGAATAAGAGATGCAATAAGGTAGAGGTGACCCTGTTTACATTCAGGGGTGTAAGTAAAAATAAGGAGTAGCAAATCACTGCTATGTCTCCACATGTGAGCTGTTGGCCCCTGACTATTTCAGGAATCTAAAAATTCAGTCTACACAATAACTTCAGTAAACTGGATTTCCCAACAATGAATTTGTTTTAATGTTCATTAATTTGTTTTAGAATTATTTCAATGTTCATTAATCAGACAAGAGCACCTAAATATTAGGAAAATGGCTCTGAAAATAATATATGTTATAAATGGGAAAGCAGTATCGAAATTTATATACACACTGGGTAAAAGTTTGATATTCTGTGGATCAAAATTCCCTCCAAAGATGCTTCTGAAAATTTTTCATAAAGGGAAACATTACTTGTGAAATGATAACCAAATTTATTAATCACTTGCAATATTCTCGGTATTTTCTATACATCATCCTAGATAGCATTCACAGTGACTGCAAAGGCTTGAGTTATTTTCCTCAAGTTCTGAGAGGAGAGACCAGGACACGAGGTAACTTTTTAAGTGTTACATACCTGGTAAGTGTCTGCATAAGGATTTCAATCCGGTTCAAATTGACCCCAAAGTCCACCTTCTTTCCACTTCACTAAATTTCAAAATAACACTGCTCTTTTAGGTACATAATGACACAACCTAGAAAATAAGCTAAGCATACTGGCAGGCAAAGCGTCTGACTTCTGAGAGGTGTTTTAGATAAAAGAAACTCTAAGAAGATAATTGAATTTCAGTAAAACAATACATTCCTCCTGAATTTTCTGATTTTCAGCTTTTGATCTCCAAGTCAGAGATATTAAGTACAAAACAAGATACTCTTTGATAGTCAAGTATCAGAGAAAATCAAAATAAAGAATTAACATTTGACTCAGCTGCACAATTAGTGTATTTGTGCTATGTCTTTCCAAATGTGTGAATTTCTATTTGACACATGGTAGTAAGCAAACAGTTCATTGTCCTTTCATTTTGCCAATAACAAGTCAAATTTACTCTATTTACTGCTTATAATTTCTCTTTTCTTGCTGCTACATCAGAGGACATGAGACTTTGTTTAAGCTCTTTCTACTGGACAGGTACAAGTTTGCTTCCCATGTTAACTATAAATTCCTTCAATATCAGCATTTCACAACAAGGACATTATCTAACTTGCCTTCATCACACGTTGTTAAAACTCAATTATACCTAACTACTTTGGGTAACTATGAGTATGTGTAGTATCTAATTCATCCTGGAAGACCCCCTGGGAGAACTTCAAAGGTATATTCAATCCACACAGGCATTCCTGAGGGTTATATTTTCATGGTTTTGACAGGTTAAATGAAGCACTTGCCTTGATTATTTATCCAAAGGATCACAACTCTGACATA